TCGAACAGGCACAGAAGGATCTCCTTCGCCTACTAGCAGTGCCACGTAGCGGTCCAATCCCAATGCGAATCCTCCGTGTGGTGGAGCGCCATGTGACAAAGCCTCGAGGAGATGATTCTGAAATCAAATTATTAGTACTATATGTAGGGCTCCGAATCGCCTTACAAAAAACTGATTCTGCAACGGCTGACCATTTCTTGCGTTTCTTCTCCAAGGATTTCCAGAACTCGAGCCTGTTCCTTCCGAATTGTGTATACGGATCGAGCCACCACCCATCTCAACGCCATTAATCACCAAGTCGTAATGCTGACCTGGAAAATTCGTCCTTTGATAAGTAAAAAAAGCAAGCGGAATCGATAACATTTGCAGAATTGTGAAACCCTAGGGAAGGGGTTCCACCTGGTTGGTTATTGAAGACTACACCAAATATAGATACAGTCATTTTCGCTGTCAGACGACGAGGCGTGTCAGGAGAGCTGAGTCTGGCTTGTGGCCAGTCCTTCTCCCTCAATTATTGAAGCGAGCTAGAGACAACAATTGGGTTAAGATGGGCTAGCGCTGCGACGACAATTGTACTGAATGTGGGTATGACACTCTGAATCCTTAAACAACGTCGTTTGTACCAATATTCAAAAATAGATCAACGGGTATTTATCGTATTCAAACGGCCACTTCCACCAAGTGCCCTCCTCTGGAGAGCCTGCTCTTTTCTTGAAAGAAGATGAACGTACCCGTAATTTGAGGAATTTTCGTTGGATCATTTAGCCATTCTCGATGCGCCTCTATAGGAGCCGTGAACGGATGGTGAGTGGCAACGAGCTGATTGTTTTCCACGGAGAACAATGGAAAATCGACGATCCAGTGTGCGCAAATCTGATGAATTCTATGAATAGTTCACGAATTTTGAACAGGAAAATGCCTCATCTTCCTATGAAACCGGCTAACTGGCTAAGTTCGGTCAGAATTCAGGACGCCTCCTGTCACTGGGGAAAATCTGTGCAAACTAAGACTCCCCTCCCCAAATTTTTTCTATGGTAGGCCAGCTTCTCGTCTCCGCCGTCTTATCTGACCATTCTAGACCTGACTTTCCGCGGAACTTTCCTACAAGCGCAATGCATTGCGCACAGTTCCTTAGGAAAGTTTTTCGATGATTTTATCTAGAAACTGGCGCTCGCGAGCTAGTACTATAGGGGGGGGGCGAGGGGGGAAGGGAGGAGAGGGGTGCCTTACCAATTAACTACTGGTTTTAACCAGCAGAGCCAGTAGTTGTATAGGACTTGGCTGCGTGGCCCACTGGAGGGAGGAGGAAGTCAACGACAAGAAAAAACTTTCTCGCGGAAAAAAATCATTAAAGGCCAAATACGTTCCCCTCCAAAAGCGACGAGCCAATACGATCCCACCCTCACCCAGTGTGAACCTTCCAACGTTGTGGATAGTGCGTGAAACTGGAAAAATCAACTACCGAAAAAATTTCTCGGGCCATGTACGACTCGCTCTCCCTCCAGTGACCAAATATGACCCCCTCCGCTTCCCCAGCAATTCGTGCTCTATAAGAATTCCTACATAGCTGAAAAACTTAATCATCTTCAGCCACTGGCCGAGTTGCCCTCACTTCCAGAAGGATAACTTCGCCAGAATAATATCTCTTTCTCTAAACCTATGTACGTGTTTTATTGGAGATCCACGTTGCGGCGACGCTGCGTTCTCATGCGCGCGACATTCGGACCAGGACCTAGCTGATTTAATGTGGACTTGCTGCATCATGTAGAACACCTATGGAAAACATCGTGCTGCTTTCTGCGCGTCGCCGCCACATGGATCCCCCACACTTCACCTTTCAAGCACAGGTTGTACAGTCGTCATCCGG